ACTCACCAGGAATTCCCGGCAAGCAATTAAATTCAGAACCTTCAACTCATGGACTGCACTGCCAGATACTCTAAAAGCCGCGTTGGAACCGCAACGTACTACTACGCATTTGTTTTTAGAATGATATTCCACGAAACAAAAAATAGGGGAAGACGTACTGACCTATTCTTCTCGAATCGAAAAATTACAAAACCTTATTATAGAGCAAGAGACTAGTGGAAAGACTCTAGAGGTAGCCAAAGCTTTTGAAGCAAGCTTTAAGCAGCGAGCAGTACAGGTGTTCATTGAAGGGTTAGGGCCCTTGAAAGATTTTATTAAGGCTGGGCATCCAACGACCTTGGAAAAGGTCATACAGGCATCCAGATAAAAGGAAAGGATTAGACGATCTGCGGAAGAAACAAAAAAACTATATACCTTACCAAAACAGGTGGAAGGGACAAAAACCAAAGTATGTGTCCACAGTGGGAATTCGGGACACTGGGCAAAAGACTGCAGATCATTAGACAAAGAAATTAAGGTAAATCTAACGGGTTCGACAAAACCAAGTTCAGTACGAACAATTACGTGTAAATACTGCCGTAAACCGGGACACACAAAAGAGGAGTGTAGAAAACTCAAATATGTTCATGGAAAAGTTCTGCGGGCGGTCGGCGGGTAGCCTAAAAACTGCCGTAATAAAATTTCCATCATCTTCTTAAATGCTGCGAAACAACAGAAAATCGAACAAGACAATCAGAATCCTGAACCCCAGGAACAGAACCTCCATTACGACCATTTACTTCGTAAATACTCTCAAACAATTACACCGACCATTATGCTATTAGTTGACTCAGGTGCTGATGTAAATTTCATAAAGTTGTCTTCATTGAAAGATGAAATATTGATTAGCCAACAGACGGAAAAAAATCTTTCAGGAATCACCAGACACACCCTACATTCATTTAGCACAACCGATCTAACTCATTGTTTGGGAAGAGATGAAAGAACAACGGAGTTTCATGTGGCACCGTCTTCGTTCCCAGTACCATACGATGGTATTTTAGAGAAACATTTATAATTGGATTAGAAACGATTCTGAATTACAAGACTAAACAGTTAATCTTGACCGATAACCAAAGGCAACCAAATTTAGTTAACTCTTCAGAACTTTCAAAAACATTTAACCCAGGTGGTAACCCAGAGACAAAAAATCCAACAGAAAATTTACAGTCAAAAGAATTCAAAATAACACTACAACCTGTGAACGTTCGACAGTTTGCCTAGACAAATTGCTCGTCGAACGTCATGTGGTCGCCCGTTTGACAAGGTCACCAACCACGAACCGAGGCCCAAAAGACCGGAGCATCGTGGATTTTGTATATATTTAATAAATGAACACGAAATGTAAAAAAGAATCTATTGTTTTTATTGATTTTTTTGTGTTGAGATTATTTTGACGCCGAGAAAGCCGAACGGCATAAAACTCGGACAAAGAAAAATTATAATGTATATTTTGACAGTCGTCATACATATGACTATGCCACCGATTATAATCATAAATTATGAAAGTGATACTACAAAACCTCGCGAGGGGGCTCGGTCGCTCGTAGACGCCGAGGTATACATTACATATTGTTATAGGTATACATACCATTATATTTCTATATGCATAAAAGGAACAAAAAAATAATTACATACCTGCCAAAAATCCACACACCAACATAGTTAAACAAAAAAAACATTCCACTCATCATCCGATCCACCGACTATAATCCGCCGCGGAAACGATTTAGTGGATCTCACTCCATATTTGAGTATTACACAATATATGAAAAAACTCGGACGCTGGCTTTTGGTTGCCGGAGACGTCCGTCCAGGTTGGAGGGCAAGAAGAAAAAAAAAAATGCTGGGTGTGCAGTATGGTAGGTGGGCAGCGGTTATCGTCACGGCCTAGGGCTTCCTTATGGATAACGGCTGCGGCGACGGTTCGATAGTACAAATTCGACAAAACATTATGCGTATATATATATATTATACCAAGGATATACGTGCAGTGGTAATTTGGTAGTTGATATAAATAATTAGGACAGACGTAATTTGCATTACACGTCACAAACCTCGTAGTAAAACGATAATTAGCATCCCTACTCCTAATCTTCAGGAGGAAGAAATCTACTTGATACACGCACAGACCTTGGACGAATCAATCCTATGCAACAACACGGTAAACCAAGTCCTTCAAAAACAGATCCTCATAGCCGCAGTAAATCCTACTGAACAATCCGTCCAACTCACGGAGGAGCAAATCAAAGGATTAAAATTTGAAAATTTTACAGAAGTAAAAGTACAAACCATACAGAAGGTAACGGAAACGGGCGGAACCAAGGGAAGATTAGTTGCCCTTAGAGATTCACTCGATACTGAACATTTGAATATAGAGGAGCGAGAGTCACTCATCTCAACGTGCGAACAGTACTCTGATATCTTTCATTTAGAGGGAGATCCATTAACTTGCACAGATACTGTTTTTCACGAGGTATACACTCCAGCTACTACCCAACCAATCAACGAAAGGCCGTACCGTTTACCCCATCGACACAAAGAAGAGATAAACAAACAAATGAAGCAACTTGAAGAGGATAATATTATAGCACCTAGCTGAAGTCCATGGAATGCACCTTTACTGGTGGTTTCGAATAAGGCAGACAAAGATGGTGTCGTAAGATACAGTTAATGTGTAGACTTCCGGAAACTTAACCAAATATCGGTCGGAGATGCTTATCCACTGCAAAATATAATAGATATTTTAGACCAGCTTGGTAAGTCTAAGTACTATACCACGTTGGACCTGGCCCAAGGATACCATCAAGTTAGAATGCACCCGGAACATACTGAAAAGACAGCGTTCTCTACAGACAAGGGACACTTCGAATTCCTTCGCGTTCTCTTTGGGTTGAAAAGTGTGCCTGTAATTTTCAGCGTTTAATGAATGCAGTTCTGGCCGGACTAACAGGATTAAAAGCATTCGTCTATTTGGACGACATTATCATCTACGCACTCAGTATAGCAGACCATTCCGAAAAATTAAAAGCAGTATTCGAACTTTGAGAACATTTAATCTATAGATGCAGCCATCAAAATGCACCTTTATGCGCAAAGCAGTTAACTACCTGGGTCATGTTATAACTGACTAAGGGGTGAAACCAAATCCACAGAAAATTAAATGTGTAATAGAATTTCCAATCCATACCAACGAAAAAGAAGTTGAATCATTATTCGGTTTATCGGAATACTACAGACGATTTGTATCAGGATATGGACGAATAGCAAAGCCACTTAATGTTTTGTTGAAGAGAGACGTCATTTTTAAGTGGACAGATCTCTGCCAAGATGTGTTTGATGCGTTGGAGAAAAATCTAACAACAGAACCTTTATTGCAATATCCGGATTTCACTAGGACCTTCAATTTAACATGCTACGCTAACAATCATGCCATTGGCTGCGTTCTATTGCAAGGATCAATTGGCGCAGACCCTCTACTAGCGAATGCATCACGGAATCTGAACCGTGCTGAATCAAACTACAACATGAATGAAAAGGAGCTATGTGCGATAGTATGGTGGGGGGGGGGGGTGAAACAATTCCGTCCTTGCTTGTTCGGTCAGGAATTTAATATAGTAGCAGGCCATCAAGCTTTGAATTGGTTATTCAATATCAAAGACAACGGATCCAGATTGACTCGTTGGAGGCTGAAGCTTGCCGAATATGAGTACGAGATCCATTTCAAACCAGAAGCCAGTAATACTAATGCGGACGCATTGAGCCGAATTAATAGAGTTGTGACCAGATCATCCAAATCTCCAAACTCTACAGAATCGCCAGATTGCACAGAACCTTCAACTTCTACAGAAAATTCAAGCTCCACAGAACCTTTAAGCAGCTATCAGAAATTTAAAAAAAAAAGTTGCATTCACTCCAAATGTAAGGGAATCGTTGCCAAATTTATAAATAATACTTCGATAATGTGGGTATGTGGAAATTCTGAGCGTGATCAGAACCTGGTAAAGAGTTAAATCTACACAAAACGAATAAATATCGATTTAACCGACTGCGGAAAGATGGAATTCTTAAATGGTTATGTACAAATAAAATCTGTAGTGGCAAAAAAAGATTTAGATAGAATCAACCTAACTATTCAGAGCTATAATGATTATAAAAATCACCAAATCGTGATGCAATATTTAAAAAAAAATAGTTGTCATTACAGGGGGAAACAAATATAAATTTAATTTATTTATTATTATATTGAGCTCTTGACTTTAAATGTTTATATTATATTATTATATTGAGCGTTTGCTTTTTACTTTTTTTGATTTTCAATTTTTAACTTTAAATCTTCATATATTATTAAAACTTGAGGCGATTTCTTGTGACAGTTATATCTGAAGTTCTGCCGGGCCAATTTTCACAATTTTTTTTTTAAACGAAAGTACTCGGTGTGTTGATGAGCCATCAAAAGAGAAAAGTCCGAAAAGTTAATTATTTTAATAGTAATTAGAAGTATAAAGTTTGTCGTTTTCTATATACCTATATATAGGCGGTGGGCCTAGGGTTTAAATAGCTACCTGTAACCTGGCCTTTTTATATCGATGTGTAAATATGAATTGTTCCAAAAAGTTGATCGATAAAAATTATCTCGCACACATAATACAACTATAGAGCAGTGTTGTAATATTGTGTCTTCGTCCGTTTTTTTTTTGTACCTATCGTTTATTTGGGTTTCTTATGACAGTTATACATCTTATTTTTTCTAACGCAAGAACTCGGAGCCATCAAAAGAGTAACGTCCAAAAAAATAATTATTTAAATAGTTATTAGAAGTGTAAAGTTAACGACAAGTTTTACCAGTTGTCTCACATGGACCTAGACAGCTTACAATACAAAACTGTATAAAATATTCTCCGATTTGGCCGATTTTTTTTAAATTCTTAAACTATTTAGAAATAAGCGAGTACACCAAAATGAAATTGAATTTTACAAGTTTTTTTTTACACATATTTTTGCTCTGTGGTGATTACAATTTGCCTGAGATTTCTTGGTCTAATGATTCACATGGCCTTACTTATACTTCATCATCCGCTCTTCGTGTACCTTGTGTTCCAGAACTACTTGCTTTCAATGGATTCTACCAAAAAAATACTATTTTAAACTTTAAGGGTTCCATACTCGATCTAATTTGTTGTAACATAGACTCCGTTGTTGTCACCCAATCTCTTGAACCGTTTGTTCCACCTGACCCATATCATCCTCCTCTAAAAATTTCATTTCCGTATATCTCCACCCCTAATATATGTAATTCATCTCATTCCTTTCTGAATTTTAAAAACGCCGATTACGATTCTATAATTAATTTTTTGTCTTACTTTGATTGGTACTCTACTCTATCCAACCTAGACTTAAATACTGCGGTTTATACCTTTACTGATGCTCTTCATAATTCAATCTTGAGATCTGTCCCTATATCACGCTTCTATAAATCCAGTTTTCCCACATGGGTATCTAAAGACCTCAAATCGTTAATTTATCGTAAGAACAAAGCTCATGCAAAGTTTAAATGTTCCTTCGACCCTGCTGATTACACTGCTTTTTCCCTCCTTCGTGCTAAATGTAAATATACTTCCAAAAAATGTAATAAAGAATTCGTCGAAAAGTCTGAAAAATCTCTATCCTCTAATCCCAAAAATTTTTGGGATTTTGTACGCAAGAATCGTTCCCACAATGCTGTTCCGAACACTGTTTCTTTAATTGGTGTCAATAGTTCTTCTAAGCTGGAAAGTGTTAATCTGTTTGCTAAACATTTTTCTTCGGTTTATCCTCCAGAGCCCGTTACTTCAAATCTTCAGATATTAGATATACAGTTCTTTGACTTACCTAACAACTGTTACTTCTCTGCAAACGATGTCCTCCTCAAACTTAATACTTTAGAAAATGTGTCTTCTATTGGACCCGATGGAATACCTGGTTATTTCCTCTACAAAACGAGGTTCATTATTTTCTATCCTCTTTGGATCCTATTTCGAAGATCCCACGATGATAGTACTTTTCCGGACATGTGGAAAATTGGTTCCATTACTCCTATTTTAAAATCAGGTTGCCGTACGTCAGTCACTAATTACAGACCAATTTCCATTTTAGGGCATAATTCTAAGCTCTTTGAGTCATTAGTCTTAGACGCAATTCAGCCTTCTGTAAATTTGATCTTAGCCAACGAACAGCATGGTTACCGTACTGGCAGATCAACGGTTACTTGTAACCTTGTTTTCTGCAATTACATATTCGGATATTTTAAAAATGGAACACAGGTTGATGTCATATATACCGACTTTGCTAAGGCGTTTGACTCTGTTAACCATGAGGTTCTAATCTCTGTTCTTCGTGCTACTGGATTTGGGGATCCTATCCTATCTTGGTTTAATTCATTTTTAG